TGGCACCTGGCCGACATATAGGCCCATATCGATTCAGGTGGTCCCTCATTGGCGTAAACTGACCCCCTGACCTTTATTTTTATTTGAGGGTCCGCCTTCGCAGGTCTGGGCGCCTGAATAAGACCCCGAGCAGCCCTTTTTGCCCGTAAACCCTCCAATTGGGCTCTTGATCGCACCACCGAGTGGGCCCTATAGGCTCTTTGGGCCTCCTCGAACACTGCCGCTGGCCGAATCGGGGTTCCTTGAACACAGGTGTTTTGGGGCCCCAAACAATGTAAATCGCTGGCTCAGGGTCCGTCCTCGTTTGGGGAATGGGTCATTAGACCCATGCCACCATGGAGCCGACTGTGTGTTACTGATGGTGCCTGAACGAAATACAGGCCCTTATCGGCTCAGTGGGCCGCTTATCAGCGCGCACGGCCCCCTGGCTGGTATTGGAGTGTCTGGCCCTGCGGGCCGGGACCCCTGAATAAGACTTCTGGCTGGCTTTTCGGGCACTTCGGGCCTTCAAATCGACCCCCTAATCGTAGGTTCCGAGGGACCCTTCGGGCCCCTCAGAACTTAAGGGACCACGTGCCCCCTTCCCCCCTACATGCGTTACTGGGCTTAGCACACGTTTGGGCCGTAGCCCTCGTTGCTCCGTCTGAAGAGGGCCTACTATCATCGAAAGGTCTGTCGATCCGCATGATCTTGATGATAAGAGGTACATGCCAGGGTTGTCGTTTCGAAAAGTGTGTGGGGAGGGGATGGGGCTAAACCGTGAAAAATCATGAAACCTTTTCCAAAATTATCTTACAAACGCTGGGTTTCTGCCGAGATTTGGCCCCTTTCCTTTCGAAGTTGGAGAGAGCCCAACTAAGCGAGCTGAAGTCCCCTTTCCAAACTGAATAGGAAGCTACACCCTGGTATCCACCATTCTGTGTGGCATATAGGCCTACAAACATCAATAAAACGTTCAAGATTGCTCCATACCATAATTCAACAGTCCCTTCAAAAGCTTATTGCTGGCACTGTAGATTCATTATTGCCGTGCGAGGTGCGGGAAACAGGTGGCATGTTAGAGCTGAAGATTACTCTGTAACGAGTCCTCCTTCCCGGGCTGGCACGGCCCCTGGTCGGCATCATACGCTAACTTGC